TTTTGAGGGGCAGTGGCCCAAACCAAAAAAGGGGCACTAGGGGGTTGGTGCTTGTTAATACAAATGATCCAGTTGTTACAAATATACAATTAAAAGAGAAGACAGCACACTCTGTGATCATTTCAGACTTTATTGTAGATGTTTTGATAAGAGTGGGCTCTCCCTCACTCTCTGAGCCTGCTTCTGGCTCATCTTCAATGGAAGTAGGGGAGAGTGGGGTAAGTTGAGCCAGTGGGTAAGTTGACCCACCCCCTGTTTCTTGGCAACTGTACACTTTTACTGTCATGTGACCATGTATTTGGAACACCCATCATTTCTGCCAGACTGTGAAAAAGAGAAACACATGGGGGGAATGGAAGGCACCCATTTACTTTAAAAACTGTTTTTGGCTTGTCAAAGTACAATTTTAGCATAACAGATGTAATGGTTGTTACATCAAAGCAAATTTATCTAGGTCTAAAAATATTTATGATACATATAGGTGATTTAGCCAAATATAAAACTATGCAAATCATTTAGCTAAATATTAGCCTGAACTGGTAAGCAACAGTAGCTATTTTTTCCAAAATGGCAGCTATGGGGCAAAGTGAGCCAAATGCTGTGGGGTAAATGGAGTCAGCATTTTAACTTAACCCACCATAAGAACTTTAAAACATTTATATTATTTTTTTTAACTATTTATAGGCCTACTACTAACATGGTTTTAATAAAACATGTGTTTCTGTCACGGTTCGTATAAGAGGGAAACGAGGAGAGGAGGAGATAAATTTCCAATTGAACAGACTTTAATAACAAACTCAAAAAGAGCAGACAAAGTAGAACAAGGTAATAACAATAAATGCCTAACAAAGAACTCTGAATCAAACACTCCTTAAGAACACAACTTAATGAGGGGAAGACGAGACACACCTGGAATCAAATAGAACACAATCAGGGAACAGGAAAAGGAAGGCCAAATATGGGCAAAGGAAAACATGAGGGAAAACTAGATCAAAGGACAGAGAGAACAGAAACACAGAACATAAATGTGACAGTTATAGATTACTAGTCAAGACAAGACAAGTGATTATAATGGGAAATTAACTATATTGTAGTATAATAGGGTGAGAGGGGCACCTCAGCCGATGAGGGCAAAGGTGCAGTGGCTCTTGCCACCGGGACACCCCCTGTGCACGACCCTGATTGAGAGTGTCTTTTATGTCACCACGCTCTAATGAAAATGAACCATGGTTATGTTTTTTGGCATATTGATTACCATTTGTATAACCACAGTTTTACTACAAATACCATGGTTAGTGTAGCAAACCCTGTTGAAAAAAACAGCATATGCTGGTTAGGTTTGACGCTGGTTTAAGCTGGTCCTTTGCTGGTTTATGCTGGTTCTTTGCTGGTTTATGCTGGTCCTTTGCTGGTTTAAACTGGTCCTTTGCTGGTTTAAGCTGGTCCTTTGCTGGTTTAAGCTGGTCCTTTGCTGGTTTATGCTGGTCCTTTGCTGGTTTAAGCTGGTCCTTTGCTGGTTTATGCTGGTTCTTTGCTGGTTTATGCTGGTCCTTTGCTGGTTTAAGCTGGTCCTTTGCTGGTTTAAGCTGGTCCTTTGCTGGTTTAAGCTGGTCCTTTGCTGGTTTATGCTGGTCCTTTGCTGGTTTATGCTGGTCCTTTGCTGGTCCTTTGCCAACACATGATATGCAGCACATGCCAGCATATGCTGTTTTTTTCAACAGGGAAGCCTGACTCATTTTTGTGGTTACCAGGTTTTTTTTTTTTTTTTTTTAAGTAAACCCTGGTTAATTTTTATAAGTGGTATTCAGTTGTTTGCCAGAGTTTTGCTAGGGTGTTCTGAGCTAATGCTTGGTGGTTGCTAAGAAATGTTGAGTATTTAACACATTATTATGCTAAGACGTTGTTCTTGTTAAAGGGTGTTGCTAGGTGGCTGATAAGAAGTTTTGAAGGTTTTTAGCACAATACTGTGCAACGGTTCTTGATATTTGCTACAGTTATGCTAGCATGTTCTGAGTGATTGCTATGTGGTTTCTAGAACATTCTGAGTGATTTGTAGCTATGCTAAGTTTGTTAAATTGTTTGTTAGATTTTGCTATGGTGTTCTAAGGTAATGCTAGGTGGTTGCTAAGAAATTCTTAGTGTTTTAGCACATTATTATGCTAAGACATTCTTGATATTTGCTAGAGTGTTGCTAGCGTGTTTTGAGTCATTGCTAGGTGGTTGATTTAAGAAGTTTTGAATGTTTTTAGCACAATACTGTGCAAATGGAGTTCTTGATATTTGCTAGAGTGTTGCTAGCATGTTCTGAGTGATTGCTAGGTGGTTTCTAGAACATTGTAGCACATGGCTATGCTAAGTGTGTTCAGGTGTTTGATAAAGATTTGCTAGGCTGTTCTGGATTATTGCTTTTAGATATTTGCTAGAGTATCTTGAGCAATTGCTTACTCCTTCAGTATAAATTAACTGGATTAAGTCTGAGTTACCCAACAAAGTTCAGCATTCTAAGTTTCAACAACACTATTAGTGCATTAGCAAGCACCACTTATGATACAATTCTATAAAATGCCATTAGTGATTGCTAAGCGATTGCTAATGGTTAATCTTCAAAACACTGTTATCTCATGTACAAGTCAAATGTTGCAGTGCACATTGACATAGTTACTTTAAACATTTATCTTGGCCATAGGTGACTCACTGTTCAAATAAAGAAAGTGTTTAATCAATATCTTGCACTAAGGACGGAACATGCCTTAAGCTGTACGCCAACTAGGGGATTTAGAGATAATATTCAAGATGGCATAGTGATAGTAGATTCCACCTAACTACTAATGATTAATCTTTATGGTATTCTAAGGGAAGACACTGTTTCCCATCTGATGTGTGACAATAAATGTGATTGCCACTCAACAAATGGTGTGTAAACATAAACTCTCAACAATGTTGTGTACGGACATATGGCCAGGGGTTAAATTAGGCCAGGATTGATCCGGAACGATGTTCCGGCATCTTCGATTCACTAAAGTTTGTTTGTTAAACCACTCCACTACGCAAATACATTCCCTCAGAAATCCCAGTTTAACCTCTAAATTTAAAATGCTAGCATCCAGTAGCAAAATTGCACTGGACATTTGGCATGCAAACTCCAAAATCTGCAGACTACAGAAGATCAGGACAAAACTCGATGGACATGTTCATTCATGTATTCAGCTCAAAGAAAGCAGGGACATCCTGTTCCATGCGTTTTTGTGCAGAAATCATGCGAGGCCGTGCCACGGATGCCGCGGGCCATTGTGGAATCTGCGTACAGACAGTTCTTACCTGAGACAGGTAATCGTGGTGGCTGTGTGCCAATTCCTCTTCTAATCTTAACTCATTCTCTCACCAAACAAGTTCTAAGAGGCTGGGAACAATCAAAAGACAGTGTATGCGGTTCACTGAGGGCGCAGCTTTTCAGTGATCCATACACGTAGCAATTGAGTGGAAACACTGTCCAGCTTAGACAACCAGTCCAGTTGCCTTATTGTAGCTAAGATCAAACATCTGCTATTAAAGGGTTAGTTTACTCCAAAATTAAAATGGTCATCAAGTACTCACCTTCATGTCGTTCCAAACCCCTAATGACTTTCTTTTTTTCTGTGGAAAACAAAAGGAGATATTTTGAAGTTGTTCTAGCGGCTTATTTCAATACAATGTCTCCAAAATGGAGGGGATAAAAAAGATATAAAGATATTTCACAATGTGAAAAATACAGATGTATTTATGTAAATAAATATTTATACTGTATATACTTAAATCAACAATATATATTTGGACAATCTATATTATATTCGAAAATAAATATATAAAGATACATAAAATATATATATATATATATACATATGTAACTAAATATTTTCTTGTAACCACTTAACCTGTAACCAATTTTTTTTATGCATTCATTTTATATACAGTGGGTACGGAAAGTATTCAGACCCCCTTAAATTTTTCACTCTTTGTTATATTGCAGCCATTTGCTAAAATCAGAGAGAAAGAGATTAATCTATACAGTATATACATTATGGATAAAATAAATAAGCTTAGTTTCACTAAATTGCTACTTTATATGCAACGTTTCATTTGCAAAATGCAACTTTATTTCTCACAGTATGACTATATTTTTTCATTTATTTACTGACCCTCATATGCTGTTCCAAGCCTCTAGAAAACTTTCCATAAAAAATAGTAATTTTTTGGGTTAACTGTCCCCTTTAGAGCTGCTAGTTCGAGAAAAAGGTGAATCCCAGCTACAAATCAGCCCTCGGCAAGGATTAACGGCTTGCATTTTTACACAGTTTTCCCACTAAACTGGGACAGCTGAGAACAAGAGCATCTTCCCTCAGGCCCGAATTTGTTTTAAACCCCCAATTTGAATACGAGTTTCAGATTGGATGTGATAAACTGTGATGTGGGCCGTATCTCGACCAAAACAGATTAGAACGAAGGCTTGTTTTAATCCAAACCTGCTATGTTAAAGAAAGTCAAACAGCCTGACAACATTAAGGCAATGTCTGTTTCAAAATATCATGAGAATGGGAGAAACGGGACTCCTCAGCTATTTAACAGACACCATGGGTTTAAGAGCCAAACCAGCGTTCACTGTTAAGTTTGCCCTTGTGGTCCATATGTTTTGCTTGCACAGCCTTTAGGAAAACCTCTGGTCCTGTATAACTCAGAAACAAAAAAATAAACCAGATAGTTATACCATTATAAATAGCCCCAGAGTTATTGGCATAAAAAACACCTGTTAGAAAATACAGACTGTTTTTAATAGTCTCCGAATTAAAAACCTCTAAAGATCTTCAATTATTTTGTTCCCAAAAAGAAGGGAAGAAAAAAAAAAGAGCACATGTGAAACTAATCATGGCATGTTACCTTATATGAGGTCAAAAGTACAACCTCCTGCTTGGAAGACAAATTTCTAGAATTCTCTAAAGCAAAACCAATACTGTAAACATTACGGGGCTTTATTACATTACGAAAAGGGTCAGGTGAATATCCAAGGATGAAAGCAGGTCTTTCCCTCCCTCTGGGCGAGCAACTGTCAAAGCCGTAAGGTGCACAAAACAAGATCGACCTGAATTCATACGACAAAACTTTCACGGTTGACTGCAGAGATGGTTGTCTGGGAATGATGAATCTGAAAAATGCAAAGCACAAAAAAGTTTTAACAGCATTTCTGACAAATCTGTGCATTAAAGTTTTCAGCATTTTGTGGTGTAGTAGAACTGTAAATTTTGCAATATCTATCTGTTCCTCTATTGATCTCTCTCTCTAAACATTTTGAATTATATGTGTGTGTGTGTGTGTGTGTGTGTGTAGAAATAAAAACATTTATATAAATATAAACTTATAAAATGTAATTTAATTTGAATACATGCCCCTACAAATATTTATTTAAATATTAAACATCTAAATTAAACATTAAAAAAAAGAATATATATACATACAAATTATTTATGTATTTACTTCCTGTAAACTGCCCGTATTAAAATATTAAACATTTATAAATACTTTTAATATCAATATATTTATATAAACAAATATACAAACATTATAATACATTTTTTATGCATGCATACTGTATATAAACGTAAATGAATTTTGATTATAGATTTAATATAGGCCTAGATATATGATATACATATACATATAGCATATATATGTGTGTGTGCAATATATAAAATGTATTACATAACATATGTAAAACATAGCCTATAAAATAATCAATGGTCAATAATCATAATGTAAAATGAAAACATAGCTTAATTAAGAAGTCCAGTAAGTATCATAGAGAAGGCGGCCCAAGAAAACTACTGTTTTTGTGGTTGGTAACACGGTTAATAATGAAGTTCATACACACAGCTGGGTTTGCAAAATCAAAGGCGGCGAACTCTCAAATATTGCAAATTGATGTTCCCCGTGGAGCTTTGTCTCGGATTAGCTTTGCATGTATTGTTTACCAGATGTCTGGGAGTTGGCTTGGAATGTCGTCTTCTTTTTATATGCGCCATAATCAATCTCAGACATCAAAAAAGATAAAATCATGTTGACATTGAGTAATCCAGTTAGCATGTTTTCCGTCTGTCCTGTAATAGCTGTGCTTGGTGTTTTTTTTTTTTTTTTTTGGAAAATGAGCCTATTTTCAAAAATAGTGGAGTGTTCCTTTAAAGCCACTGGGCCACTCTTGTAAAGTTTCAAATTAAGAAATATGCTGCACATGTTAACTTTGTATAATTTTTTAATTTGTTAAAAGTGTAACTCTTAATTTTTTAAATATTGAGGCCCCCTAGTAAAGTTCCAATGTAAGGAATATGGCACATGTTGGCATTTTAGTTAATGTAAATATAAAATAAATTAATATAAAATAAATAAAAAATGAAAAAATTAAGTTTAACATTTTTTAAAGTAATTTTAAAGACATTTTGCACCCTCATTGTATGTTTACTGAGGCCTGCTAGTGGGCCCCAATCTTAGCTTGGCTGTAAGACACCTGTCTGTGAGCCCTCGGAGGATGGAGATTGACCCGGGAATGAAAGCCTTGCAGGAGATCTGGGAAAGCAGCAGATGTGGGCTCAGCAGAACCTGGTGTCTAGACGAAGGTGCCATACCTGCATTCCTTCCAGAGCGACTCATCTCAGCCGGCTTAAGGTCGCTGTTGAGTAAGATACGTGGGAGTGAATAAGAGCTTCAACACGAGTGCTCTAGCTCCGACAGGCCTTGGCAGATGGTCGCGCTCTACACTGGAGCGCCACATGTCAACATCAACCGACCGCAGCCCCCCAGCATCCCCCTCCGTCCTGTCACACTCATAGGCCACACATTAAACAACACACGCAAACCCCCCAATCATCTAATTACACTATTTGAGAAAAGCATGTCATTTTAGGTTAGTAACTCGCCATTGAAGCGTTTACGGAGTCTGCAATTTGAAGGAAAATCACATACGAGTGCTGCTGTCGGTGCATTTAGGCCGTGCTGCAGTAGGCAAAAATTAAAAGGCTAGCTGACGTCACAGTCGTGAGTTGAGGGCCGTCGTGAGGAAAGAAATTAAAAGCTTGGCCTGTGCTGGGCCTTTGAAAATCACTCTTGAAAAAGATGGGTTTAAAGCAGGTCAGGAGAAGAGATGAAAGGGCAAGCAAAATCTATCTATCTATCTATCTATCTATCTATCTATCTATCTATCTATCTATCTATCAATCAATCTGTCCTTTTCTCTATCTATCTATCTATCTGTCCTTTTTTCTATCTATCTATCTATCTATCTATCTATCTTCCATTTTATCCATCCATCCATCTGTTTGTCTATTTATCCTTGTCCTTCTGTCTGTTAATCTAACCTTTTGTTCATCCATCCATCCATCCATCTATGTATCTGCCTACCCATTTGTCTATGCATACATCATCCATCCATCTATCTATTCACCATTTTGTCCATCCATCCATCCAACCGTTTGTCTAAACATGTATCATCCATCCATCTATCCATCCATTTATGTTGATGGAGTCTGCAATTTGAAGGAAAATCACATACGAGTGCTGCTGTCGGTGCATTTAGGCCGTGCTGCGCTAGGCTAAAATGAAAAGGCTAGCTGACGTCACAGTCGCGAGTTGAGGGCCATCGTGGGGAAAGAAATTAAAAGCTTGGCCTGCGTTGTGGCTCTGAAAAATC